CCGACGCAATTGCGCTGTGGACCGGAAGCATCGAGCTCAGGACCAGCAATTCTCTTTGGAATCTTCAATCAAGAACTAAAAACACTCAGAAAACTAAAGACAATTCAGCAAATATTAATAAAGATGTTTTTACCTAATTCGGGATGGGGCTCGGAATCTAGGGATCGGGATTCGCGAAGGGAGATGAGACGACGACGACGACGACGACGACGACGAGAGCGAGGGAAGACGACGAAGCGTCGCCCTCCGAGCGAGAGAAAAAGCTGCAGTTGCAGCCATTTTTCGAAGAAGAGATGGAATTATGTCTCAGAAATCTAAACCCTAATTCTGCAACTAAACCCTCGGTCCCTCGGGATCCGCAGTGAGTTTGTAGAAAGGCCCTTTAAAATAGACATTTTGCAGGAAAGAAGCAAGGATTTGCAGAGAGGTTAATTGCAGATAGACACCCCTGTAGTTGTATTTGTGTAGCTAGGCATTTTTCACCGTCTAGCGTTCATTCTAATTGTAGATAAATTCCTATCAAAATGTAATATTTCACAAAAATATTCTCTTACGCCCTTATCAGTCAGTTAGCTAGGCTGAAAATTTTACAGCCAAATATAATTTTGCTGCAAATAGAAATATATCTTTGCTATGGGTATATGAAAAAAGAGGATGAGAGTAACTGACCGTTTGCGCTTTAATCAGGGGATGAGCTGCGGTTTGTGGGATCATCTTTAAAAGATTTTTTTTTCAATATCCACTTTTGTTCAATGTGACTAGCAAGTGTGAGCCTTACCACTAATAAGCTTATTGATATCTCACTTGGAAAATAAGTTGCTATCTCATAGCTTTATTTTTTACGAAGGGTATTTTTCTATACTTTTCGTTAAGTTAGAATCCAACCATAATTAGTAAACTGGTTAAAAATATTAAGTAGATGTAATTAATTTATTGCATAAAAAATTTAAAATAATACGTACCAGAAGTATAAAAACGTAGGGGGGACCAATAAAAAAGAACAATCTAAATGACCAATATTAGAAAAAAAAATAAAAAACTCTTGAGACTTAAGTAGGATGTAAGTTGCAAAAGCGTTGGGACTTAAAGTATTTTCTTGTAACTTTACTCTTAGTTCCTCAAAAGGGTCGAGCACCTGGAGCCTTTTCGAAGCCCGAGGGCGTTGGAATTTTAGAGCCCCATTTTTCTCCTTCCTTCAGAGTTCAGAGCGACTCCAAATGCAGCCCCTAGTGAAACATATTCAAGAGAATATGCTTTTTTGGAGTTTCTCCACTCCAACCATCATCGTTATATCTAACTCTATCTATTTTAATATATTCATATATCAATTTAATAAACACTTGAGTTGTTTTTTAAATATATAAAAATAATAAAAGTTATATAATATAAATAATATTATTAAATGAACTAATATAAAATAGGCATTCGGACTAAAATAAACATACATTGATATATTAAATCCACGACCATTACATAGAAAACAAAAGCATGAATTGAAAATTACATGACAAATAAGAAAAACATAATACATGAAAAATACTAAAAGTTTGGAAAGTCAACTCATCCGTATCCACCTCCTATTGTAGTCAGGTATTCCGTATTAACTTCTTGCGTAGCCGTATTCAAGATTAGAGGTATCAGATGAGGAACCTCTGGTTATATTTCTATTTAAAATCTGTTGTTGTTTAATTCGAAAATATTCACGTTTTGTTAGATCGATAATAGCATCCAGATCAACTAGCATAATTTCTTTCTCTTGTCATTCTTGCTGAAGATCTAACTTTTTCTTATCATTTTCAGCCTTTAACATCATAGCCTGGTTCATCGTTATTCTTTCATTTTCTCGTTGTTCTTGACCTCTTTTTAAAACTTCTAAGATTTCTTGGTTTCCTTTAGCAAAAGCTTCAAAGTTAAGGTTCTTTTCAATTTCTTGCAGTCTTCTCAACTTCTCTTTCTTCCTTCGAATAGGTTGACTAGTTGAAATGTCGATTGGTGAATGATCATCGTCATTAGGAGTATATCCCTCATTGCCTTCATTTAAGTCGATGACAGGAGCTTGAATCAGATCCTTGAGATAAGAGAGACTTTGAAGTTTTGGAAGTTGCAGGAGACATGACGCTTATACCTACCCATTTCTCTGCATCCTTCAAAATCGGCCAACATGATCAAATAGAAATCCTCTTTTCTCTTCTGGATCTTCTGCAAATATGATCCTAACACATTTATTCTACCATAAAAGAAGAAATAAGAATTAATAAAATGAGAAAAATAATTTAATAATCAAGAAACATGTAATTCATATACTTACAATATCAAGTTCAGAAGCACCGCTTGGATTGAGGCGCTCGACTTGTCGAATGCATCCTCGAAATTTGCTGATGGCTTTCATAATTAATTGCATTCGGCATGAGAGAGACTTCGGACTCCTATGTCCAGTGCAAACGTTAGAATTTTTTTTCGTGAAATAGAGCTGAAATTCGCTCCCATAGCTTATCTTTCTTTTGATTGGAACCTAAAACTAAATCCTGAGATATTTCAAGTCATGTAGCGCATAAAATTTGATCTTCTTCTTGTAAGAATGATTTTCCGTGACTGGATGCCATAAGAGAAGGACGAAGGGTTGTTGAGAAGAGTTATGGAGGAGGAATGAGAACAATTGTGATGGAGGAATGAGGGTTGTGCTAGTATTTATAGTGAAAAAATTATGGAGAATTCAATGTGGGAAAGAATCCAATGCCAGTGGGAGAATCCATTATGGCTAGAAAAAGATGCAGAAAGGAATCCAATGTGAGAAAAAAATCCAATGGCAGTGGGAGGATCCAATGTGGGAAAGAATCCAATGTGAGATAGAATCCAATACTACTGGAAGAGTCCAATGTGGGTAGAAAACGATACGGAAAAGAATCTGATGTGGGTAGAAAGCCAATGCCAGTGGGAGAATCTAATGTTGGTAGAAAACGATACGGGAAAGAATCTAATGTGGGTAGAAAACGATGCGGAAAAGAATCCAATTTGGGTAGAAAACCAACGCCAACGAGAGAATCCAATGTGGATAGAAAACGATACGGGTGGGAGAATCCAATATGGATAAAAATATTATATAATGACACAACATACCGCTATTAACAACTCATCACCAATCTTCTTTCATTTCTCCAAATCCCCTCTTCAACCATGAACTATGGACCATCATATCTACCTTCTTCTTCTTCTTCTTCTTCTGATGACGAAACCTTTTCTCATTATGTTGAACAATGGGAGGAGGATATGAAACAATGGGAGGAGGAAGATGAAATCTTAGCTCGTTTATATGTCGCTAACAATAAAATAATGGCTTATTTCTCTAAAGAGAAAGAGAGGTCAAAGCTTATCAGCTCAATTCCTGGTCATTTGGTAATCAACCATGAGAGGGAAGATGGTAATTCTGGACTCTACAATGAGTATTTTTCTGATAATCCCACGTACGGAGTCGAAACCCCTCCACTTTCATCTCTTAATCGAAAACCCATAAAAATGAAGAAATCGAAGAGAGACATCGATGAAGTCGAGACCCCTCCAATTTCAGCTCTTAATCCAAACCCCATAAAAAAGAAGAAATCAAAGAGAGACATCGATGAAGTCGAGACCCCTCCAATTTCACCTCTTAATCCAAAACCCATAAAAAACGAAGATGAAGACGTCAGCCCTCTGATCTCTAATTCAAAGAGTAAGAAGAAGAAACACGAAAAGAATTGTATCGAGCAATCAAAGGACAAGTCCCCAGAGGCCTGCTCCCTTTTGTACTTCGATGGGTCTTTGGATTTCCTTCTCTTTTCTATTGATTTTCTTTTCATGGGTTTTCTGTTATTTGATCTTTAAATCTCATTTGTATGCGTGCATTTTATTGTGTGATGGTTGAATGCAGAAGAAAGAAGAAGGCAATGAGCCTTGCTATTTGCCTGGGCAGAAACATGATAGACCCAATGAAGTAAAAATTTCTACTTCTTTCCCCTTCTTGTTCATAGCGTGTACATATTGGTTTTGATTAATTCTTATATTTTTGATTTCAGAGAGACCTATTAAGGATTTTCTTCGAGACGCTATACCAGCAGCTACCCGACTGTGAATTGGCCTCGAAATGGTTAGATGTTCTAATTTTTATTTGTACAGTTTTTAGAATTTTATGATTTTGTATCAGATTTCTACTTCTGATTTTCACTGTCAAAGATGTCATGTTTATTTCGTGCATCAGTATAATTCTCTGAAGTTTGTCATTGTCCTCAATAATCATCTCTTTAGTGGAGTTCGGTAACATAGAAAAGGAATAACATGTACATATGGTTGTTATTAGTGTTGAATATGTGATGCCTATTCCTAACGTGATCGTTATCTTCAATTTTTCTGTCACTTGCATTAGTAATTTTGTAATCCTTGTTTCTTTATTGGATGAGTAAGCAATGTTTATGGTGATACTATAGACAGTTTCATGTTTTCCTATCATCGGACTTGCCATTGAGACTTGCATAATCTTTATACAAATCCAATGTTGGAGGGGGCATTGCAAGTTTAGTATGAAAATTGTTGGTGTTATGTTCTCCCTATCTTCAGAGTAGTTTCATCCTCAAAATTGCATGTACCTTGGCTCTTGAAGAGTTATAGATACGTATCCTGCATCTTATCCATCAACTCCCATGTTGCTTCAATTTCATGATGATTCTTCCACTAGACCTTCGGATTAATTGATGGTTTGTTTCTAAGTACTTTCTCTATCCATTCGATGATGTGGTTTCAATGTATCTCATAAATAAAATTGTGGGTAATTTCCCAAGGCACCCTAAATTTTGCGGTGATTTGCACAAAACCTCCCTGGACTTTGAATAATGGAGTAATACCCCTAAACTTCGAGGAGTTATACAAAACCCCCATGAACTTTTTATAAGTTCCATCTGGTGCTCAAAGAGTTACATTGCTTCTTTTTTCCAGCTTGTTTTGCTTGCTTTTCAGGATGGTTGTTCGACTTTTACAATGTTAGATGGACTCGTTACGCTAGAATGATGAGAAATAAGTATTATATTATATGGGAAGTTGAAAATTTTCATAAAGGAGGATTGTTGATTCATATAAATTATTATTCAGTCCACAAGATGTTGACAACTAAGATATCATCAAGGATTAAGGGTTGTTTTTCCCTAATAAAAATGCGACTGTAACCATAGCTGCAATTTGCAGAAGATGGTTGTAGTTAGAGTTATAACTTCTTGTTTCATTATCCCTATGATGGCAAAAAGGAATCACTTTTTGTAAAATCAAGTTGCAACAAAATCCACCACAAATTATTTTGCAGAAGGTTTCTCATTTTTGTAGATGCAGTTGCCAAAAAATTCCTATTGCAGTGATTCAAATGGCTACACTTAGTTCAAATTTCAACTCCAATTAGTTACAATTTTCCATGTACCTAATAACACATTAAATCAACAATTCCTGACCCCTAGCTATTGAAGAAAACATCTTAAAGGCTTGACTCAAATAATCTTGGTTGCCAAGAGGTATTGTTGATGTTGGACATCTTGAAGATCAGGTTAGTTAGGTTTTTTTCTTAGGATTTGGTTCCTTCTTTTAGTTGATACGTTAGGATAAGTAAACTTAGGAATTGTTACTTGGTTTTATCAATAGCTTAAGATATTTAGTTATGATTTTTGCTATCTTTTAGTTAGAGTTTGTTTGATCGAGTGGCAGATCCAGGATTTCTGAAAAGTGGTGCAACTTCATAATTAATATTTTAAAAATTTTATAAATGTCCCCGACAAGTTGTCATATTTGAAAAAGGTACATGATCACATTATCAGTAATAGTATCAAGTACATTTCCTCAATATATTACAAGAGCATAATTTTCTGAAAATGATTTGAATTGGTTTCAAAGTCAAGTTATATAATGTTTCAAGCTAATTATTTGATCTTTTAACAATATTTAACTCAGGGCTAAACTTTTTGAAGAGAATCATGTTAGCAAATACTTCAGTGATTTTGAAGTTTCGAACAATCAAGGCACTCATAAGTTCATATTGGATGAGATTCTAGTCGGCATTATAGAGTGGCCACTGTGTTTCTAATGTAAGCTGTAAACCATTTACTTGGCATCGCATAAGCAATGAAACCATATATAGTGCCTCTCTTTTTTTTATTTTTTTTCAATTCAAATAGTCAATCCCACTAAGATGTTAAGGGGTCCTGTGGCAAAGTGGTGTCACGTGACACTACTTTACCCCCTATGGAACTGCCTCTAGTTTGATCTGATTAAGATTTTATTCTATAAATAACATTGTAAATCTTTGTTTGAAGGGGAGAGAAAGTTTTGAGAATGAAGATTATGAAAGTTTTGCATGTGTAGTAGGCATGTCACATGTGTGCCGAGGTGTGAAGCCAACAGTATGAGGCCAAATTTGATTAGGTGTTGCATGTGAAACTAGCCCAAGCTAAATTTATATTTTGTTTGTTTTATTTAAGTTCTTCATATTTCAATTTCAGATTCAGAAAACAATTAGATCCGACCAAATCAGATTTAAATTAGGTGATCATTCTTCATTCCGCATCAATTGCCTAAGATGACATCCTTTAGATTTGAGTCAACAAAGACTTACTCCAAGTTTTGGCATCCAATTTTGTTGCTCGATGAAAAGAGCTAAAAGACTTGTCTCTTTCCTATTCCTAATATTATGGAAGAAGATACAAGTTGGGGAAAGGTTGAAAATTATAGAAGAAGAGTTGGTAACAAAACGAAAGAGAAGAAAAAGAAGAAAGAACTGCAATGAGTGGACAACAACGTACAATGGTGGAGCTGGGGGGTCAAGGTGGCCATAGCTCCCACTAGATTTAGTAATAATTAGGAGTTATGATCCAATGACATACGTTTAGTTATGGAATCGCAAAGGTTAGTTTAGTTACTCTTGTGAGTCTTAACTAAGTTAGTATCCAATGATGTATATATGATGATTTATATTTTGCTATATTAGTAACATCTTTAAATCTTTTATTTGCCCCTTCTAATAATCAATGGTTATATATTTTCTCTCAGATAGCCTCCTTAAATGTTAGCTGTTAAAATTTTAATCTTACAGTTTATAATATGATATGAGAAGATTCTTTCTCCTTCTAAGAGAAGAACAATCCAACTACTGTGTGTGTTAAGCTAAGCTGTTGACCGTGGATGAGAAAGACTAAATGGTTCAACTAATAAAGTAGCTAATGCAATATTGGCTTATCTCCAATTAAACGAGAGCCTTCTTTTTTTCTTTCTTCATCACAGACTCAATTTCTAGGGGTTGAACTCAATTATGAACATCTCTAATGAGCTCATCTCTAGGATATTATGGGTTCGTATTTTCATCAAAATTTTTAGGATTCTATTATCTACATGATAATCAAATATTTTTTTGTAAAACTTCTATTTCTGATTCTTCTTTTGCCTACTTACATATATGAAATTTTATTATATTTTGTTATATCAATTAAGAGAATAGAAACCACCACAACTCTAAAGTTGTGAAGAAGCGTAAAATTTTACTCGCAACAATAGTTACGCTAGGTGCAGAGTTACATTCAAATTAACTTTAGAAATAGCATGCTTTCTTTTGAAAATTTAGAAAACCCTAAAATATATAAATAGAGCATTCTAGCTACAGGTGAATATAGCTTATATCAGTAAAAAATAATAGAGTTAATAGGTATTAGTGATTCATTTAATATTATGATATAGGATAGAACAATTTTTCACTGTAGACCCGATCTGCGTTTTTATTACCAAAACCGACCGAAAAATTTTTTAATTACCAAAATCGACCCGTTTTATGCCACGTAGGCTTAAGCTCATTTCCTAATTAGTCGGGGTTGCCAACCCCGACTGTTTAGGAGTTGTTAAACCGTAATTAGAAGCCTTAAACCTGATTTAATTGGGGTTTAACAATTCCTAAACAGTCGGGGTTGACAACCCCGACTAATTAGGAAATGGGCTTAAGCCTACGTGGCATAAAACGGGTCGATTTTGATAATTAAAAAAATTTTCGGTCGGTTTTGGTAATAAAAACGCAGATCGGGTCTACAGTGAAAAATTGTTCTATAGGATAATTTCAAGGTTGATTTGGTAGAGTGGTATAGAGTTGGCTATATTTAGATTGCCAAAAGGGTGAGCAACCTTCTACCTCCCTGTTTTGTTTTTAAATCTTTTCAATGCAAAACCAATTAAATGAATAAGGTATTATATAAATGAATAAGGTATGCTTACAAATGGTGTTTGGAATTTTAGAACAGGTTCTTATATTTGTATTTTACCTTTCTTGATTTTCATACGCTTTTATTTCTAGACTATAATTAAGAATTTTTTTATATTGATTTAGCATATGGTCCTATGGAGAATGCATATTTATCGATCATGCCCTTCTATTATAATGATTAAGCATATGGTTCTACTAAGAAAAGCATAGTTCTCGAGTACTCCTTGAGAAATATTGCAAAAATGATGTCATATAGGTAGAGAGAATTTTGATTACCATTGTCTTTATGAATATCCATTCTTTTCAATTTGATCTATAAATCATAATTGATGTTTCTAAGCATAGAAATGGATTTTTTAAGCAGTATAGCCAATCTCACTGCTTTCTATTTATGTGAGTAACAGACATCATTCTGAAGTGTTAAAAACACTTATATGCCCACGATCTATGTTGCACTGGTAGAAATGCAATATGTAAATACAATAACGAATGAGTATGTGGAAATGGAAATTTTTGAAAATATGATGTGGACATGATAATATAGACATATATTTGAAATTAATGTTTATATTTGTAATCTTGATTTGAAAGATTGTAATGGTTAAAAAATCTATAACATGGGTAAAAATAAAAATCCTAAGTTAAGAAAGTAGAATAAGTATGAAAATTCATATATAAGACAAATGTGATTGTGAATCTATAACTCATGTGTTCGACGTTTTATCTCCTTAGTCTAGTCTCATATGCATCTTTAGTGGTTTCTATATGTTCATTAATGGTTTCTATATGTTCAGGATATAGCATAAATTTCTTGTTACAGACAAACCATACTTAACAAGTAGTCAAGTATTCAAGTATTAGATATATGTCAA